TATATATATATATACTATGTTCCCTATATCAAACCATTACCAAAAGTGTATTTTTCCTAATATTAGACAAAGTACACTTTTGGTAGTTATTTTGACTTTGAAAATACATGGGCCTGGTTTAAATTCCTGACTCTGACACTTAACTAGCTGCTTGACTATGAGCAGATTGGCTCTTTTTATAGCCTCAGTTTCCTCAACTGTAAATGGGGTTAACAATGCATATCTCACAGGTTTAATATAAGAATAAAGAATTGTAATATATGTAGGATTATTATTAGAGTTCTGATGCATACTAAGCATGCATAAATTGGTTTTGTTTCAGTAAAATTAGAGGTGACAGAATATAATTTAAAATATCAGTGGCTTAGGATATTGAAACTGTTTTCTCCAAAGGCAAGTGATAACACAAAAAGAGAGTAGCCTTCGATATCAGATACTCAGATCAGACTTTACTTGGTTTCTCCAAATACCATCTATATGGCCTTGGGCAAATTATTCAGCCTCTCTGTTTCTCCACTTTCTGAACTTAAAAATGAATTTAACAATACAAACCTTGCAAAGCTGAATTGAGAATTCCATGGTATACCAGATATGTAGCAGGAATTTATCTTTATTGCCATAATCATATTCTGATCTATATTTCAGGTTTTCACATTTTGTTAATCTTTGAAATTAGATGTATGATTGAATTTGCTGACAATTTAGGAAAACATATTAACAAAATTTAAAAAATTAAGTGATTCTCTTTCTTTTTTTCTCTTTGGATAGTTTTTGACACTTTGCCACCCATGCGCTATCAAGAGACAATGAGTGCCATCCGAACATGGATCAAGCAGTCAGAATCCAAACTCTCTATACCTCAACTTAGTGTCACCGAATACGAAATCATGGAGCAAAGACTTGCAGAGTTGCAGGTCTGTGAAAATTTGAGTGTTGTAAATAATATAGAATGGATCTCATTTATCAAGCAATCACATTAATGTAACCTAAAAATAGTATTAGAATTAAAATAATCATGGCAAGTATGATAGCTTACCAGCTGAACAAACGAAAATGACACTTTGGAAATATAGTTTCTGCATTTTTGCTATCTCTCTTTATCTCTCTCCTTTCCTCCTTCCATCCCACTCCCCCATCTTTCTCCATATATGTATTCAAGTGATGTCTTTACAAGCAATTATATGTTATGTTTATAAAGTATATATTTCTTGTTTAGAATATATTTTCATACGTAATGGTTTTGATTATTTTAGAAGCCATGCTATTATTTTTCCCATGTTGCTTCCTTATTTACAACCCCTTTTAAATTCTCAAACAGACACAGGTAAAATCAGTGTACTTATAAAATTAGCTTGAATTTAAACACTAATCTTCTGTAATATTGTAATGAGATATTGGAGTTTTAATAACTATGTTTTTTAACAGTTTTATATCAAGAAAGATAAAATGCTAATAAAGGGGATGAAAAAATAAATTGTAAAAGATTTTAGAATACTTTTTCTACTAATGCTAAAAAGTCTATATTATATACCCAATCACATTTTTAAGGCATGAAAACATATTCATTAATTATACTTAGGAGTTGAGTGTATGTATACATTTTGAGAATTAAATTAAAAAGTATTAAGAAGTTAAATTCTAAGAGTCTTTTTTTGAGAGCTAAATATAATTTCTTTTAAAAAGTAATTTCTTCAAAGAAATATATATTTAAATATTTTCCAGTATATATTGTTCTATTTAGACTATTTTATCTACGATAATTCCAAACAAACTATAGCTGTTTAATATTTTGTTTGTTTCCTTTTTATTCTTGTTTTTAATACTTGGCATAATGATTCTGAAGTTTACTTGGAAAAAATGTGTAGCCTAATTAAAAAAAAATAAGAGTACAATGGTACAGCAATAAAGGGAGAGAAGAAAGTACACAAGAAATAGTGAGCAGATGAGTAGAAGAGAATATTTCCACTGAAAAAAAGTGAGGAAGGAAAAATTATTTATAAATACCATTGAGAAAATGTATTAATTAACTGTAATAAAAATTAAGTTAGAACCCCGCCTTAAAAGTTACACCAAAGTAAAATAATAAAATGTTCTTACAATAAAAAGTCCAAAAAAATCTTAATTAGAATGTATTTTGGAATTTTTTTTTAGTAAAAATCTCTTAAAACTTATCACTAAGAGCATAAAAATCAATGGACGTAATCACAAACATTGCAAAAACACCAAAGACAATTTTAAAGAAAAATGAGCCCCGAGGGAAAATTTTTTTCTGTGACTAAGGGATAAGGGAGAAAGTCTTTAGTAAAGAAGTCATTTACAGGAAGCATAAATGGGCAATAAACTTATGAAAAATTGTAATTCAAATTGTAAAGGATAACATAGAAATTTACAAAATGAGTTACCATTTTTCACATACTAAATTGCATAGACACATACAAAAGATATAAGTTGAGTTCTGAAACTGATTAACAATATTTTCATTTATTGGTGCGAATGTAAATTGAATGTAAATTTCAATACTTTCTAATAATACATAAAAACTAATTAATTTGTACACATGAATATAATTTTCATGAAGTTTATTATTTATGAACATAATGAGAGTATATTCAAAGATATAGATAGATAGATGATGATAGATAGATAGATAGAGATAAAAATAATTTACAGAAATGGAAAAGTAGACATTAATTTGTAGACCTAAAAATGGGTAAGGGTTAAATGAAGTAGATAAGCCATTAAAATTCATCTGTATGAAAAATACGTAATATTTTTATATTAGGCATAAGAAAAAGCTGACAATAAAATACCTTGCTCAAAATGTAGTTATTTGCTAGATGTTGTTAAATAATTTGTCAGAAGGAAACAATTTAATAATGTAAAATAAAATAAAATTTTAAGAAATAAAGTAAGAAAAATTAAATATGACAGAATAGGTATAGGATACTATGCAAATATAAAAGTTATGTGTTTGACAAATTTGTTGGATGATTTTAAAAAGGAAGGAATAATTAATTGTACATGTGTCTATATAATTCAATCACGTATTCAATATTTAGTTATATAGAGAAAACACTGAATGTTTATATAAAAAATTAATAGTTACAAGTGGATGTTTTACTAAAATTTTTTATCATGAGCTTTTATTACTTAATAACCAGAAAATAATATTGAAATAAATATTGAGTAGGAGAAACCTAAAGATAAACATGCTATTATAAGGATTGCATATGTTACGCAGGGTAAATGTAAAAGAAACTTTATAAATTCTCCCCCAAATTATTCTAGAACTTCAACTAGAACTTTCCTAGAATAATACAAAACAGAATAATGTCTTTTGAAAAATATCAAAACTTTAGTTAACTGGCACTAGTAGACCATCAACCTGGTAATTTATTCAATAAATATTGTTATCCTATATGTCAATATGATTTAGTTATAGTTTTACCTAGGAACGTTAGAAGTTGTTTTACTGAAGCCTCAGTGTAATTAGATTAAACTTCATTAACTGTATAATAATAAATGCAATTATATATATTATATATATACATATATACACACATAGTTCAATAAAATTAGATGTGCTAAAACTCTTTGGTTCAGTGAAATATAGTTTTGGATATATTTGACATTGTTTATAAAAGTAGGCACAAATTATTAAATAAAATATTATTAAATAGTGTACAAGTAACTTTTATGATAAAACGTAGGATTTAAATGACCACTAGATATTTTATAACTGATATTAGATTATCTACTTTGTTTAGATGTTTGAATTACATAGTTTCATTTTAAGTACGCTTTGTTTGACTGAAACTCGCTAATTATTATCCATCAATTAATATTATTGTACTTTTTTTTTACTTTCAGGCTTTACAAAGTTCTCTGCAAGAGCAACAAAGTGGCCTAAACTATCTCAGTACCACTGTGAAAGAGATGTCAAAGAAAGCGCCCTCTGAAATTAGCCAGAAATATCAATCAGAATTTGACGATATTGAGGGACGCTGGAAGAAGCTCTCCTCCCAGCTGGTTGAACATTGTCAGAAGCTAGAGGAGCAAATAAATAAACTCCGAAAAATTCAGGTAATTTAAAATTTTGCTTTTAATATTAATTTTTAATTTACTTCTTTTTCCCCTAAAAAATGCATTGTAAAACTTAAAGGTAAATAGAGTCTGTCAGTGTCAGTGATAAGATCAAAAGACAAAGGTCTTTCTCATAGAAATATAGTTTGACTATTTCTTCCAAGAAAAGAATAATAAAGAGTTCTGCTTCTTAGATTTTCTTTAGAACACATTTGTTTTTTTCACCATTACCAATAGGACTTAAACATGTTTTTAGCTAAATAATTTTCAAAACTAATAATTTTTTAGACTGATGGTTTTTTAAGATATAGATATCATTCAGTTTATGACTAGATTAAAAAGATATATATATATATATATATATAAAACCTTATATATATATATAAGATATATATATCATATGATTTCACGTACATCTATACATATATATATATATATATAATATGATTTCATCACCATATTTCACTTATAATTACATGCTTAATTTTACCCCATTACCTCTTTCTCAAACCAACTTCTACCGATTTAATTGTTTAATAGTGCCACCATACTAATAATCACCCAAGCTAAAAGCAGTAAAACAATTAAAACAATTACACTGTAGTCTAAAAGTCTAAAATATTTAGTGATATACATAATATCTCTCTTGAGTGATCAATTATTGTGAGCAACGTTAATGCTGGGAAAAAAAATTCAAAAATATCATGTCATGATGGAAAAGCACTGAACAAGATGCTTCTGGATTTAAATCTCAGTCCAGCTATTTAGGTACACTACAAACCGGAACACTAAGCAGTCCTGCAACATTTCACCAAGCACAGCATACATATATACATGTCTCTACTTATAAACATATGTGTACATGCATATGTGCTTACGTACATACATGAAAACACATATTATTTGTCAGGACCAGTGGGCAGAGATGGAATATAATTTTCATCATCAATGAAATTCGTCTAGTGAAGGAGAAATGTAGGTGTATTATTTTCCTGTTGCTGCTACTACAAATCACAACAAATTTGATGGCCCTAAACAACACAAAGTTATTATCTTACAGTTCTGGAGTTCAGAAATCTAAAATCAGCCTCACTGGGGTAAAATCCGGGTGTCAGCATTGCTGTGTCCCTTCCCGAGGCATTAAGAAAGAATGTTACCTTGCCATTTTTAGCTTCTGGAAGCTGCATGCATTCCTTACCTCATGTCTCCATCCTTCATCTTTAAAGCCAGCAGTGTAGCACCTTCCAGTGTCAATGTCTGCTTGTCTGTCTCTCTCCTTCCCTGTCTTGCCTTCCTCTTAATAAGGACTCTTGTGAGTGCATTGTGTCCAGTCAGATGATCTAGAATAATCTCCCCATCTCAAAATGCTTAATTTAATCATATCTGCAAAGTCTTTATTTTCATGTTAGGTAACATATGCACGGGTTCCAGGGATGGGCATAAATATTGGTGAGGGAAAGGGGAAAGGGGTCATTATTTAGCCTAGCACAGTAAGTAAATTAAACAGTAGGGGGCTGGCTGGTTAGCTCTGTTGGCTAGAGTGTAGTGTTATAACACCAAGGTCAAGGGTTTGGCTCCCATGACTGGCCAGCTGCCAAAACAAAACAAAACAAAATAACAACAACAACAAAATAACAAAGAAACAGCATCATACACATGATGACCAGTAGGCAGGAAAAAAAAAATCAGCATAAACTGGGAAAAAGGATTATGGAATGTTCTTGGAATACAGGTTGTTGCAGCCATACCTTGAATACAGAATTTAGCCAGCTAAAGAGAAAGAAAGAGTTTCTGACAAAATGGAGCAATAAGAAGTTCAATATTGAGGAGACAATATGTATGTTTGGTTATCAATAAAATATACAGTTGGAAAAATGTTTAGAGAGTAGATCATGAACGGTCTTCAGTGCCATGCTTCAGAATATGAATTTTAACCTAACGGTGATGGGATTAACATCATCAACAACAGTAGTAATAATAATGATGATGATGGACTATTACTGGTATTTTAAAGAGGGAAAGATTTGATTATCTTTGGGTTTTCAAAGCATTACCATAAAATGATTACAGTACAATGAGACTGATGCAGATACCAAAAAGAGCTAATGCAGTAATGAAGGAATCAGTACTAAGAACTGAATGAGAACAAGGGAGATTTGAAAAAAGAGCAAAACAGAGCTTGACAGATATCAGCAAAGTGCTAATGTTGAAGCTCTTAGATTTAGTCAAATACTTTAAAAATTATTATTATTAACCATATTGAAAAGGAGACTTTCTGTGAAGCACATATTTACAATATAAATTTAATTTTAAAAAGAGGAACGAGCACATCTAGACAGCATAGTTGAATTCTATAGAAATGTAGAAGTAACAATCATACATTTAAAAAGCAGCAAAAAAAGCAGCAGAAAAAAATCATAATATGGTAAAGAATAATAGAAAGTACTTGGCTATTAATAAGTGATAAGAGATGATATTTTTCACCTGATTTGTTACTTCAAATTGGCCAGGCAAATAAGAAATTAAAAGCAAAAGCTTTCTCTTAAAGATGACAAAATCTTGATCTGCAAGTTCCCAACTGGAGGGACTATTTAAACTGTCAACTCTAGAAAACAATTTGTGGAAGTTCGGGTTTAGGGAGGCTATAAAGACACCATTACATTCAGTTTATTGTTCATAGTTTGTTTTATGTAGTGTAAGGGCACATTGTTAGTATTATCATGAGTTGTCTTGTAACTTAAAATTTCTCTGGAGGGGGATATGATTTAATGTCCTCAAGAGTAACATCATAAAACCACATTTGGTAGTAATTTTTTATTTTTAACAGTAGCAGACTTCATACACCAGTGCTTATACAGTAGACCATAAGAATGCAGTCTTCATAAAAATATGCTTTTCCTGAAGAACTACTTAGAGACATCTTTCAAATGTGGGAATTGTTTGTGGGCTTGTTTAGACATATCACTGTGATGAATTGTCTCAGGAGCAATCAGCACCCCAATAATGACTTAAATGGGTCTCTTATTCCAGAATCACATAAAAACCCTGAAGAAATGGATGGCTGAAGTTGACGTTTTCCTGAAGGAGGAATGGCCTGCCCTTGGGGATTCAGAAATTCTAAAAAAGCAGCTGAAACAGTGCAGAGTAAGATTTTTATATGATGCCTTTCTTATGGATAGTGTTATTTAGTGAGATCAATGATTTAGAACCAGGGGCTACTTTGCAGTGTGTGGAAACATTTTTGGTTGTCACAGCTTGGGGATGGGGACAGATGCTACCGGCATCTACTGTGTAGAGGCCAGAGATGCTGCTAAACATCTTAAACTAACCAGAATATCTCAATCACTGCAATGAATTACACAGTCCAAACTGTCATTAGTGCCAATGTTGAGAAACCCTGGGTTAAATTAATGAGAAATAGACAAAGCATTGCTGTTTACTGAAAGCTCACTTTATAAGATTGTTTTAATATAAAATGCAATATAAATTAAAGGTAAAGAATCTTTTGAGCTACTTGTATCTTATTACAAATTATTATTCATACTGTGTCGCTCCCTCTGTGTATAACACATTGTACTATAATATAACACAATATGAATTTTTGAAATGATATTCATTATACCATTGTCATGAAGCAGGAAGAAAATAATCTAGCTCTTTAAAAAACTTGCTTTGCAAGTACAAGCTAAAAAAGCAAATCCTCCTTACAAATAACTTTCACACCCATCATGATATATACAATTGCTGCAATATCCTGCTTTTGAAAACCAAAATCCTTTTAAAAACAGTAATATATAAAGCCCATCATTTTCACACATTTTCTAACAAGAAATATTAAATTTATTTCCTTTTTTCCTGATGTTAGAATACAGATAATCCCCTATGTCATTCATGCCATAATACCCACTGAACATTTTTTGCAAGACTATATCTACAGATCTATATCTATTTTGGATTATAAAGGAAAAATTCATATGCAATGTCATGATTTCTAAGTATGTGTTTCCTAGCTATGTTGCATTTCTAATAAGTGGTGGTAATTTTTTTCAGCCAGCTTAAATTGAATTATTTCCTTAGCTTCTAGTCAATGATATTCAGACAATTCAGCCCAGTCTAAACAGTGTCAATGAAGGTGGACAGAAGATAAAGAATGAAGCGGAGCCAGGGTTTGCGTCCAGACTTGAGACAGAACTCAGAGAACTTAACACTCAGTGGGATCACATGTGCCGACAGGTATGGACAGTCTCTCTCGCTGTGGCTCACCTTGAATTAATTAACTAAGATTTCTTAATGTCACCCTTCACCATTAATTTTATTTAAAGCTTTGTTCGTGACTATATTTATGCTTTAAAGCATAATTACTTCAGACAAATTAGTCTTTTTCTAGCATATAGAAATATTTTAATAATTGATAATTTAAATAGTACATATTCATCTTACTGACATCATAAAATGGACTTATTGAACACAGCTGTTACACTGAAAACTAAAATCCTATTCTTAGGCATTATTTTAGTTGAATGTTTTCTCTAGTGCATACATTTATAATAATAATTGGATTAACAAAAGATACATTACCCGTGTATTCATGGTACCAAAATGAAATGAATGAGTGATATAGTGCATGCACAAATCTGGTAAATAATTCATACTTCTGATTGTTAATATTGCTAAGTTTGGCTTCGTTGACACATTTATTTTAATAAATAAATTAAGATTTAGAAACAGTTAAGAAGAGCCAAAAGAAAATAAAACAAAAGTAACTATCCACCCACATTTGAATTCTTCATTTTTATACAGCAGAATATTCTATAGATATTTATTTTCAATTTAAAGATTAAATCATGGATAAATATTATAATCATAAGCAGAGTACATTGAATACTTCTTGTTCAAAAGATAAAATATTCACCTAAAGCAGTGATTACTTTTAAATCTACCAATGTCTTTTTTTATGTTAATGAGAGGTTTCAATTTATGTGTGTTAGAGGCAGTCAGTCTTTGGTTATTTCTAAGTAACCTTTCAAAGTTGAAAAGAAATAATGCCAAGAGGCAAAAACTGAATTTGAAAAAGAAAAGAATTTAGAGAAGTAAAAGTCAAGGCAAGTCACCCAGCTAATACTATCACTGACAAATGCTCAACTGTTCTATTAACTCACAGATGAGATAGCCCTGGGTCAGCTAGCTTTCATTCTTCTGGTGTAAGACACTGCTAGAAGAGCTGTTCAGGAAAAAATATTACTTAAATAGTAGATTATACCATTGAAGTTTTCCTGGAAGGCTAATATGAAAGGTATTTGTTTGTTGAATGTTCTTAATAGATGAATAGAAAGAACCCCACTAATTTATTTAGAGCAAGAAGAAAAGCAACAGCAATATATATAATGTATTCAACAATATTTACCAAAACCTCAAGGTTTTTACATTTTATAGAAGTGTGATTTTTAAAGGATCTCTATTCTTATAATGTCCTTGCTAAAGACCATGCATCTGCTATAATACGTACTAAGAATTACTTGTTTAAAATAAGCATTTCAAACACACTGGCCCTGCTGCATAACAAAAAAATCCATAAATCCCAGCCATGTTCTGATCCCATTTTCTAAACGAATATTTTATGTCTCTTTTTCTCCTTGGAATATCACTTTGCCCATTCTCTGACTTTGTCGCTAAGTGACCTAGGTTTGAAATGAAGGAATTATGCACTCAAGGAGAAGAGGAAGACAATGCAGTAAAAGCAGGGAAGCCAGGCTTGGGTGTTAGTATCAATTCAGTGTTCCAGAGAGAAGAATGGAAATGAAGTGTACAGATATGCATTACAGAAGGGTCTAAACACAAAATGAGAGTGTGATATTCTATCTTGGCTTAAAGATAACTCCCTATTTGTTATTAGATGCCAAAGTCTGGAAAACCATAAACAAATAATCAGGAACAAAATTGTCCAAATGTCTGCTATACCTGAAGACACTTTGAGATCCCATGATCAGATTTTAGAGGTATACAATGGTTAAGATTATTTTAAAATCTAAAGGCTATATATCCATATGAAAAATATCAAGATTCTGGCTATTTCTAAAATAAAAGGATAATCATTATTAAAATAGTCCACAAAGTAATCAGTCATACTCAAAGAAAGGAAGGAAGGAAGTGAAAGAGAGAGAGAGGTAGGGAAAAAAGGAAATTTATAATTATACATACTTTTACATTATACATTATATACACATCTGTTTTAAAAATAATCAGAACACATAAATACATAATTTATTTAAGGAAACATTTTATTATTTTTCTTCATTGCTTGTTATAGTGTTTATTTGAATATATAGTTATTAAACATTTAGTATCTGATATAATTGGGGAGTAAAATAGACATAGTACTTATCCTCATGGAGATTACAGTTTAGTGGAGAAGATGCAAAGTAAATGGATTAACACATTCTGACACCAATGCCTAATTTTATTTGTTGCCAAATGCCCTGAACTTAGCAATCAGAACTGTCTGAATGAGAAAAACAAGAGCAAAGAAAATCCTTTCTAATTGGTAGTCAGTAAAGCCTTTCTGGAAGACGTGAAGTTAAAGTTGATGCCGAATTAGTGACAAGTGCCTGACAATTTGATGTGTGGACCAGGTGAATTTTGTGTAGAGAATGAAGTGGGAGAAACTTCTGAGGTAAGAGAAGGCTAAGCATGTTTGAGAAACTCAAAGGAAGCCACTGGATATGGAGCAGCATATGCCAGGAGAAAATGGATAGGAAATAAAAGTCATGAACAGATTTAGAAGCCACAGTGAGGATTTAGTCTGTATTGTGAGTGCAGTGGAAAGCTCACAAAAACTTTTAGGCATAGGAGTGACATCATTTAAAGTGATTGTTTAACAGTTTGCTATATATTCTTGTTATACAAAGACTAAATCAAAGGGGCTCAAGTGGGAGCAAGTAGAAATTGCAATTGTCCAGTACAAAATAATACTGGCAAAGAAAGGGGATATTAGTGGATATTAAGAGCCATGAAGAAATTGGAAATATATAATCCTCTTGTGACGTCATGTTTGGTTTACTATCCAAACCTCTCCCAACATTCTTCCAAGTTCTTCCATAGAAATGGAGCTGATTTAAATACTTATCGTTCTGTCTCATTACTGTTTACTCTATTTTCTCATTCTCCAATAATTAACATGAGGAGGGGATAGTTGTTCTGGGCAAACTGGACCAAAGTTCTTGTGTGGCTCAAACTTTGTTGAAATTTTTGTCCTCCATAGCAAATCTCCAGCAAGTTTGTCTCACTCATTTAGTTAAAATTATGTTTATGGAACATGTTCTTATTTTTCCTGTTTCTGCCAACATTCTTCCTTGGTATATTTTTGATAAGGACCTCCACACTCACATCTACCCAAAACTATAATTCCTTTCCTGAGACGATACATTCCTTTCTTGATTTTTATCAGATCCTGTAAACAATGGCAGTACTTGCTGAAGGAACATGCTTGCTGAAAGTGAAGAGGAAAGATAATAAGGGAGGAATCAAAGTGTATCTTCTTTTAGTTTTTTGTTGTGAGCATCAGTGTAGGCGATGGTGACTTTAATTAAACAAAGAAAGACTTGGGGCAAAGGGAGGAATAAAATTGAATAGCTTAGTAGAGTAATCAATAGTTACATCTTGGTCGTGTTCATTGTGGAGAAGGCAATCAGACATGCATCTGGAATTCAAGAGGAATATTTGACCTGGGCATATAAATGATGTGCACAAAAATGAAGATAACATGTATATAAGATAACTCTTATTTCCCAATGAGAAGATTTTCCCATACCCCCTTACCTAAAATACTTGGCCAAATTAGATGATACATAAACTCTTCGGGAATTCGGAAAAACATTTTTTTTGTTGTTGAAACCAGTTTGTTGAGTTATGATTGACATACAAAAAGCTGTATATATTTAATGCATACAAGTCGATGAGTTTGGGGATTAGTGTACACTCGTAAGACCAGTATTGCCACATTCAAGGCCATACACTTACCCATTACCTCCAATAGTTTCCTTCTGTCCCATTTATTTTAATTTAATATTTTTTGTAGTAAGGATACTTAACATAAGATCTACTCTTAGCAAATTTTTAAGTATACAATACAGTATGGTTAACTATAGGCCTCATATTGTACAGTAGATATACAGAACTTAATCATCTTGCATAACTAAACCTTTGTGCTCTTTGAGCATCACCTCCCCATATCTCCCCTCCCCCCAGCTCCTGGAAATAACTATTCTACTCTCTGGTTCTATGGGTTTACTATTTTAGATTCTAGGAAATAGAGAAAAAAATTGCAAACCATATATCTGGTAAAGGGTTAATATCCAAAATATGTAAGGAATTCCCTCAACTGAATAGCAAAAAAGTAAAAATAAAAAGTATCACCCCCCCAAAAAAAAAAAGAAATTGAGCAAAGGACTTGAATAAACATTTCTCCCAGAATGACATACAAATAGTCAATGGGTGTTTGAAAAGGTACTCGGCATCACTAATCATCAGGGAAATTCAAATCAGAAGCAAAATGAGATATCACCTCACACCTGTTAGAAAAAGCCTGTTAGTAAAAAAAAGAGACAGAAAGATAAATAACTATTGGTGAGGATATAGAAAAAGGGTTACCCTTGTACACTATTGACAGAATTGTAAACTGGTGTAGCCACTGTGGAAAACAGTAAGGAGGTTCCTAAAAAGAATAAAAATAAATCCCCCTTTTTATCCAGCATTCCCACTTCTGGTTATATATCCAAAGGAAGAGAAATTAGGATCTCAAGGAGATATCTGCTCTGTAATGTTCACATCAGCATTATTCACAATAGTCATGAAATGGAGACAGCCTAAATGTCCACTGATAGATGAATGGAGAAAGAAAATGTGGTATCTACTCATATGTATATAATGGAATATTATTTAGTCTTAAAAAGGAAATTTACAGCAACATGGATGAAACTAGAGGATATTATGCTAAGTGAAGTAAGCCAGACACAGAAGTACAAATACTGGAGAAGAATTTCTTGTGGATGGAAAAGCATTATATGTAAGGCCAGGAGTAATGGAACCAGATTTCCTGGGTTTAAACCTTTCCCTCACCATTATCTACTTGTGTGATTCTCGAAAATTTGTTTAACCTCTCTGTATCCCAGACTTTAAAATGTACTGATATAAATGCCTGACTCATAGGAATTTTATAAAAATTAAATAAATTAATCTTTGTAATGTGTATAGACCAGTACCTCGCACAGAGTAATACATGTTTGTTAACTAAAATAAATGGAGAAGACATAGACAGAAACTTACATATATAAAATTATAAAAAATATATAATTCATAAATAAATATTGTATGCTTGTATATCTTAATTATTAGTGGCTATAAATTTATAATAAATAGTTTATCAACAAACACTGGGTTTAGAGTTCATGTGGATGTCATTGTGGCAACTTACAGGTCATTGTCATTCTCTCTATCGATATACCTTTTGGGTGCAATCATCCACAGATCTCTTTCCTCAGACCTCTAACAGTTTTCTTCCCCTTTTATTGTTTGCCAATTTATTAGCTTCCTATTTCACTAAGAAAATAGAACTAATCAGAAGGAAAGTGGCCTATATTCCCACTGACCTGCATATGAGCTCATAGACTTTGATTTCCTTCAGTTAATATAGATGACCTTTCTGTCCTTCTATCTAAGTCCGGCTTTTCCACTTATGTACTGGATCCCTTCCCCTCTACCTTCTACATCTTCCCTCTACTGGCTTATTCCTATCAGCAGACAATTATGTAGCTCGTATCTTCTATAATTAAAAAAAAAAAATCCCCTCAAGCCCCTTCTCCATTTTTGTTCTCCTTTACAGAACTTCTTTTCTCTTCATTTTACTCTTTTCATTCTCTCTTGAATCCTACCTAATCAAACTGTAATCCTCACTTCTCCATTGAAGCAAATTTTGTCAGGGTTACCAGTGAATTTACATCACTAAATTCAGTTTTCAGTCTTTATTTTTCTTCAGGCTTCTGAACCACCACTTTTAGTTCTCTTTTGATTTGCCTTCAGTTTCCTGACCACTCTCAGTATCCTTGGTGCTTCCATGTCCTTGACCACTAAACTTGGCAGTGTTCTAGGGCTCAGTCTTTGGACCTCTGCTTTTCTCTATCACCACTAACTCCCTACGTGAACTCGTCCAGCCTCATGGTTTTAAATGTAGTCTGTGAGTATTTCTTCCCATTATGTCTGTTACAATCTGGACCTTTCTCCTGAATCCCCAGAACCATTCGCCCACTCAACACCTCCATATGGATGAATAATAGACATATTAAATCTAACATGCCCAAACAAAGTTCCTGGTATCCCCTTTAACTTACTAGCCTACTAGCCTCCCTGTCACAACAAATGACAACTCCATCCTTTTAGTTATCCAAGCTAAAATTCCTGAGGCCTCTGGCCTCCTGTAGTTCTCTTATTCCAAACATAAAATCTATCAGCAAATACTGTTGGGTTTTACCTTCAGAATTTTCAGGATCCAACAATTCCTCACCATCCTTCTGCTCGCATCCTGGATGAAACCACCATTTTTTCTTTCTCAGAATATTACAGTAGATTCCTGATCTCCTTATTCCCACCTTTGTCCCTCTCCACGGAGCCTATTTTCAACACAGCAGCCAGAATGATCCTTTTAAAATATCTCAGATTATATCACTCAGCTACTCAAAACCTTCTAATAACTTTCCAAGATACTGTCTGTAAAAGCTAAGCCTGCGAAATGGTCTATGAAATGCTTCTGAAGGAAGGAGCTAAAGCATAGTCAAAGGTGTGTGTGCTGGTAAATGTTTAACAATAGGTATCATGAATCTAGGAGAAAATATAGGCATGTTGAATTCTGATGTCTGTTGGCCACCCGGGTATAAACATCCAATTACCAATAAGGAAAAGGGGATCTGAAACTCCACTTAATATGTGAGAAAGAAATTGAACAGGAAAATGTTTTTAAAATAGAGATTCCAATGATAGGAGAAGAGAAATAGCAACAGAACTCAGGGAAACATTAATATTTAAATGTCAGAAAGTATAAGAAACCCAGCAAGGCAACTGAGAAAATAAAACAACCAGAGAAATCAATAAATGCAAAAACTGTGATGTCAAAAAGTAAGGGGTTTCAAGAATCCAGGTATAAATATGGGACTCAAATGCTACAGAGACATAAATTCTGAATTATAGAGGGGTAAGGGAACAAATGGTTTGAAAAGTGTACATTAGGTTTAAAATTAGAAAATCTGTGATGGTCTTTTAGTTAAAGGAGTTGCAGTAGAGTGGTGAGGGTGGAAGACAGATTGCAGGTGAGGAAATTTAAGAGGTCAGAAAACAAGACAAGAGCAGACTGCTGTTTCATAAAATATTAACTGGGTTGAGTTGTGGTAAGATAATGTTTACTTATTTATTTTTTTAATCACAGGGGAGGCAGAGAGTCCATGAACATATATTTATAGGATGACCTAAAAAAAGATGAGAGAGAATTTGAAGAAATTATAAATCCAGGGTAATATAAAGGAAAGGTATGGGGAGGACTGACTTCACAGAATCAGCTTTGAACAAACGTTATTGACCTTGGACAAGACCAAAGGCATCTGTTGTTCTGAGATCAGAGCTTAAAAAGTGGGGAGGAGAAGTGCTAAATGTTAGATTTACAAGATCTAGAACAGAAAACGTAAAGAATTTTCTATTTATCTATTATGAGACAGTAATATAATCAGCTGAAACAGTACAGTAGATTGGGCAGCTTAAGTCAAGGGTGTCGGAATAACTAATGTGATAAAGATAAGGAAAAATTGTCATTTTAACCAAAACCTTTTCACAGAAATCCTTCTGACATGAAGTCACACATTTTTCTGTATCTCTCTGTCTGATCAGTCATAGAGCTGTAAAATGTTAAACTTGAAAAAGACCTTGGAAATCATCTGGTTCAACCGTTAGGTTAGTTATGAAGCTGAGATAAAGAGAAATAAAGTGATGTTTCTGGATTCACTTAGCTTGCTAGGAATTGAGCCTAGGTACCTTGATTCCAAAGCTGGAGTTCTTCCCAATACACTGATACTATCATCTCAGAATGACCTTTCTATTCTTAAAAAACAAAACAAAACAAAACAAAATTCACTTCTGTTTCCTTTCCTCTGGTTTAGTTTTAAAGCATGCAATATTTTTTTACTACACATCCTAGCTACCTTTCATTAGTCAGTCTAATATTTTTGTAGCTTCACCAACTACCTCAAAAGATTATAGCAGAGCAGAGTATCTATTTAGAAATTTAAAAGCATGTTTCCTTAGGCTTACTATAGGGTCATTGATTATGCAAAACAACATTTATGACTCTACTAGTATAATTGTCAGACATAATTCTAGATGTGTCACATTGAAACATTTATTTACATTGCAATAGACTAGGTATTACATTCACCTAGGAAAGTATAGAACTTAAAATCAGCATAACTGTATTAGGTTTGATATGGTTGTAGATTATGAGAAGAATTAATGTGATGTTGGTTCTACACATCTTTAGTATTGGGTAAAGTACATGAAAACTTCATTTTACTAAAATTATGCATTATATACTAAAACTTTACTATTACAACTCTGTTACTTAAGATATAGAACCCTGTTAAATTCAAGAGAGAATTAATGTCATCACTAGAATGGAATTACTTTCTCAAGTGGGAGTAAAGCACTGCATATAATCATTATAATTACAGCGTGCTTTGCAACAGGCTATTAGCATATCTGATTTTCTTTTAGATATTTTAAGTTTTGCTGTTTTTCTGGTTAATAAGTAATACGTTTTTTGTGAGGTCTTAATATTTCAGAAATGTATGAGAGTTTAAAAAGCAGAAATTTCTTATAACCACACACATCTTTGGCCAAACTAGGCATCTTCATTAATTGTGTTTTTTTGTCTATCTTACATGTGAAAATGCATTAATTCATTTTAATTTGCAATCGTTCAACGATGAGTGACATTGTGACATCCTTTACACACACACACATACACTATAAATATATATATGTATGTGTGTGTGTGTGTGTATACACATTTATGCATGACCATGTATTATCTTCTTTCTGTTAGTTACCTAACTACTTATTTTATACATTTTCCATTTTTTCTTTTTGATTTATGAGAGTTATCTGTAGATATATAATTGTTAAGTTCCCAGGATATTTGAAATCATAAAATAGAATCAAAGAGCACAAATTATTATTAATTCTATGTGTGCCAATAAAATTAATTTTTCAGCTAAAACATAGTATGAAAAATGTTTTTTCTCTGTTCACACACACACAAAGAAACATTTCCACACACACCAAATAGATTATTTTCATAGGGCAATCTGTTTATTTTATTAAGTATGCCAAGTATCTTATTTTCAAACTTATGTGAAATTAAGGGTATCCAATCTCCATAGGTTATTTTTCTTATGTATATAAGCTTTTTGCTTCGTTTTAATTTTTATTTTTTTTATTTTAACATTTACATATTTCTGGGGTACAGTGTGTTGTTTCAATATATGCATATACTGCACAGTGATTCACTTAGGGTAGATGCTTTTTATTTCTTGCTTTATCTTTAATATCTAAGCTTTCTGTTATTTAAAGACTGCTCAATAATGATACAATGATAATGTATTGTCATTATCAATAGTCATACTTTGCTTGCTTGTTTGTTCTATGGAAGGTCTGTGCGAGAAAAGAAGCCTTAAAGGGAGGTTTGGATAAAACTATAAGCCTTCAGAAAGATCTATCAGAGATGCATGAATGGATGACGCAAGCTGAAGAAGAATATCTAGAGAGAGATTTCGAATATAAAACTCCGGATGAATTACAGACAGCAGTTGAAGAGATGCAGGTAAAATAAACAAAATTAAACAAAGCAAAGAAGAAAAAAGGAAAGAAATGCAGCATTGCTTGAAATTGTGATTCTGCACAATCTGCTCTTTTCTTGCTTTAATTATATAGGTTGATTTTTAATTAATTTAAACTCAAGTTTGGTATACATTATGTAAAAGCCTTAAACTGTTTATTAATTTTAAAGCATTGTGGTCAAAATGTAAATATCGACAATCACAGTTTGAAAGATTATTACCTTGAAATTATATAGTATTAAGAGAGTGGAATCAGCTGATCCCATTAGCTGTTTCTAGCAGATGAAAAATCAAGTTGAAACTGACAAAGTATTATTGAAAGGGTCATTTCAAAAAAGAAGTGAAAAATCTGTGTTAATTTAGTAATTTAAAGGGGTTTCTTACAAATTGGAAGTACTAAATATTTTAACTGATGGCCTTTAATATGGATAAAAAGACTGAGTTTATATGTACTTCTCTTGAAAAAATAGAATAAAAAATAAGAATAACATTTGATTGATGAAGGAAACTGGTATGTAGCATGGACTTGGAGGTGGGGCCTAGTGTTGTGCTCTTTTACCTGCCCGTAATCCTGCTGACTGGGCCAATTGTTGAGCTAGGGCTGGGTCTGGAACTCACACACCCATCAAGCCCATTCACAGACTGAGTCACAAACCCTTCACATGCCAGGCTGGGTCCCCAGACCCCTCACACGCAGGTCTATGAGGTAGGTAACCAGCAAAAAGGACTTTGGAAGCTGTAGGTTCAAGAGCATGGCCACGCAGGTCGATGCCCAAGGCAGATGCCAGCCAAGGTCACGGCACCGCACAGGTGCACTAACTCCACCCCCACCCCACAATTTGTTTACAAAGAATGTGCTGCACGACCCCCAACCTGACAGGCAGGCAAGGGAGCCTGATTAAATTATTCTATTTTCCCAACACCTAGAATTAAATCTATACAATGGCATTTCAGTACGGTCTTGGGAAATTCAGTAGTCAACATAGTCCTCTACTGTATCTACAAAGATTCTAACTTGAATGTATGAACTGAGAATAGAAACTTACACGTCAGTAAATTGCCTAACTCAGAGTGGGCAGTCAATGATTTGTAGCTATAATGATAACTATTACTTTTATTGACTAGCAATAACACATAATCCAACCATACTAACCTGTGTGAAATATTAATAGATTTTTTTGGTTGGAGTCCTCATGGGCAAATTGTGAAGCCAGGCACTTGGGTTTAAAACCTGGTTTGACCCCTTACCAAATCTGTAAACTTAGGTGAGTTGTGTAAACTCACTGAGCTTCAATCCCCCCATTTGTGAACTGGGTATTAGAATGCTTGCTTTTCAGAATTATTAGAAGGATGAAACATAAAAGTCCTAACACAATACCTGGCACAAAGTAAATGCCCCAAACTCGACAGGTATGATTTTAATAATGATTATCATTGTTGCTACATGGTAAGAATTAATTAAGTATGCTTTATTATGTAATTTACATTATCATTTATAAATATTTGTTATAGTTAGCAGCAGAAAGTTCTCACATTAAAACTCAGAAGTTTAAACACTGAATCTATCGTGTAACTTGAGTCAAATGTTGAAAGTAAAATTAAAACCTATAAGAAAGATTGAATTTGGGTAAACAGTAATAGTTTCTACAGTATTAGAAACTAAAAAATCATTCTAATCTAGCAATACTACATATATTTAATTTATTTATCAACAAATACTTATTGCATCCTTACTATGTGTTGGGAAAATAGAATGGTTTGGTAAGGACCATCACCTGGGGTCTGGTTGGGTGTGGTTCAGCAATTCGTTTGTAAGCAAATTGTGAGTATGTGTGTGTGGAGTTAGTGTTCATGCATGCCAATGTATCTTTTTAGTTTTGTTGCTATTCTTGTGGTCTTCAGAGTTTGTGAAGAATGCTGGCTGACTACTGCCTGAGATGGCCACTGCTGCACCATGCAGCCATGCTTTCTTCACCTATGGCTTCCAAGGACCTTTTTGCCGGTTACCTAGCTCATAGACCTGCATGTGAGGAGTCTAATGACCCAGCCTGGCATGTGAGGGGTCTGGTGACCCAGCGTGGCATGTGAAGGGTTTGTGACCCAGTCTGTACAATGGACTTGAGGGGTCTGTGAGCTCCAGCCCCAGCCCTAGCTTTACAATTGGTGCAGTCAGTACGGGATTACTGGCAGGTAAAAGAGCCCGACAACTGGCGTATTCATGTAGCTTTGCAATTGGCATCATGAACAGGATTAAGAGCTCTACAATTGACTATATGGACAGGATTCCAACATTAGCCGTAGCACTACACTATGTGCCAAACATCTTTCTAAATACTGAATATAATGGTGAGCAAGACCACTACCTGCCTTCTTGGAATTTACATTCTACTCTGGGGGGACAGGTAATGAATGGGAAAAAAAAAAAAACTTTTTAAATTATGATAATTTGCCTAAAAAAATAAGCCAGAATTGTAAAATAGAGAATGATTAGTGTTCTGGCAGGGGATAGGGATGCTATTTTAGCATTTGTAGGACATTTGTGAGGAATTATATTTAATGTGAGAGATCTGAATCACAGGAACAAGCCAAGTATTTAAAACAATATCATGGAAGTACATTCCAATCAGAGAGAATAGCTTCTGCCATGACTGTGAGGCTAACTAGAAAGAGAAAGAGTCATGCATGTCTGAGGGAAGTAAAATATGTGATAAATGACCTGAGGTGAGTTTGAGGGGGTTGGCAGATATCCATTAGTATTGTGAGATATCACAGGGGTTTTTATTCTAAGTGAAATGGGGAAGTCATTGGAGGGTTTCAAACAAAAGATCATCATGATTTTAAATTTGACTGTGGAGAGGTCACCATGAGGAAAATTATATCAGAATGTGAGAGCTAGAAGGTACTTAGGAAGTAATGCAGTCCAACCCTCTCTGTCTGCTGATCACTGAAATCCCCAGACAGGTCAAATAAATTAGCCATAGCCAAAGGTTATGTCTGTAGTAAAACAGTAGGATTGAAAGTATTTCATCCCATCCCATTCCATTTTCAGCTATTCTGTCTTTTTATCACCCTATTCTATTCTTTCCTATTCCATTCCATTCCACTGCATTCCGTTCCATTATATTCACGAATTGTGTGCCACCAATGTGGCCTTTCCTCCATATCTCAGTTCCTTATGATCTGTTCTCACCACCTCTTCTATTACTATATAGCCAGTATGTCACATCCCTAAGTAAGCAGTCAGCAGTCAGCTTGCATTCAGCTGCTCTGTTTCTTCTGGGTTTCTTAGTTTCATTCAGTCCCTCTTCTGACCCTCTTCCCTCTCTCCTTGAGCAGTTTGCCTCTCTGACCAACCACCCAATCAGATTCCTTCTATTTTCCAGTGCTGGAGAGTAGACTGTCTCAAATTTTAAAATTTTAAAAACAATTCCTGAAATGAGTGGTTCAACCAATTTGTCCTCATTGATTGGCATGTTTAAATAATTGATCTAACTACCCAATTGGTGCAGTATGGGAAGGATATTGAAAAGAGGAAAAGCTCGAGAAGCCTCTGGCAACAATAGCCGAGGGAATTGACAGGAAGATCCTGTTTCTTGAGTTTTTGGCCTGCCAGTCTAGGCAATCTCTTTAGATCAAATTCACTGCCTGGAAGGTACTACCTGGAGTGCCTTGTGCAGACTTCCACCTATGCTGATATTTAGAGCAGATTTATCTTTATTGCCAAAAGATACTAACAGACCTACTTTGACATCTCTCCCTGATTTACTCAGAGAAAAAGTAGACACTTCCTTCTGTTTATTTTCTTTCCTGTATTTTACTTCAGAATGACAGTGCTGTTTTGATAAGTTATTTTTTCCCTGTAAACGAAACTTTTCTGTTGACATGAAAGAACTGAGGGGAGTGTTTGATAAACAACATCTGACTTCAAAACTCTTTTGGAGATTGGCAATGACTATATGGTGAAATTTTATACTAAAACCTTCTTAAAAAAAAAAAAAAAAAAAAAAACCTCCGGAATTTCATTTTTAACTATTTTTTTCTTTTTTTCTTTTTTAATCTACTGTAATTCTAGTCCTAGTGCTTAACAGAATTTACCTATAGAATAAGGATATTAAATACATAAATTCATTTGTATAATCGCTAGAGCAGTGATTCTCACACTTGACTGAACACCAGAATCAGCTGGAAGACTTCTTTAAAAACACAGATTGTTGAGCCCACCCCCAGAATTCCTGAGTCTGTGAGTCTGGGGTAGGGCATGAGATTTTTTTACTTCTCAGTAGTTTTCAGGTGATGCTGAGGAACCGTACTTTGAGAAACACTGGTTCAAGATATTGAAAATGAAAGATGTATAAGCATATCATGGTTAGACTCATGGGAAAAAAGAGAACAAGAGCCATCATTTTTAAAATGAGAATTATGTCTAAACTATACCAGTCAGTTAGCTTTCTACCTTTTCTCACAGTAGAAAAATTAATGATCTCCTTTTTTCATATCTACCTGGGTTAATAAAATTTGCTCTCTTTTTTCTCTGAAAGTTTCCCAATGTCTAAGGCTGTTTTTTTCTTCTTTTTAAAGAGTATATGAATACCTAAAAATCAGGGAAAAAGTGTGTCTTGTTCTTGTTCTGCATTTTTATATAGTTTGCTTGGTTTTTTTTATAACTTGTGTAAATTTTAATTTCCTTCACTGGATCCACAACGATGTGTTCCTTTCTCATCTCATGAAGGATTTGAGACGGGCTTAACAGAAACTATGAGAAAGAAAAGATGTAACTCCCAAGATGATTTACTTTAACTCTCTGAGCCTCAGTTTTCTGATGTCTAATATAGAGATAACAAAACTCATCTCAGAAGGTTTTGTTAAAGATCCAAAGAGCTGGAACATATCACATGGCTGGCATAGTACACACAGAAGCACATATTAAATGATGTATGATTGTCAGAGCTGGTGATAATGCTATAATTATTACAGTCAAAATATG